GTTTATGCTTTGTGATGTAGTCTGAACTGAGGGTTATGCTTTGGTCTGATCTTCAGCAGGGGTCCACTTAAGTTTGTTTAAGCAGCCTCTCGATGCAACAATGTGGGAGTGGCCGAGACACATGAGTGTCCTTATGGCCAGAGTTTGAAGTTGGCAAGGAAACCTCTGGATGCAAAGAGCTGCAGCCATGAGGGACTAGGTCCTACAGAGCTGACTTCATGCCTTTTCATGAATGAATCCTCTTTCTAAGCTCTTAACTACTTATCTTCTTCAGAGGACAAGGTGATGGGGATGAGGACTCGGGATTCATAACTTTAGTTTTACGGCAAGAGCCTTATTTAGCTGAAGCATTATTTGTGCAATTAAGATTATTATACACAGGGAGACATAAAAAGATCTGTGAGTGGGGACTGCTGTTGAAAGAGAAATAACAGTGAGTCATGCGAACATCAAATGAGTTTTACTCACCAAGAGATTCACTCACCAAGACCTTAAACTAACCCACTCTTTCTTGAATTTGTACAAAAGCACGGGTGAGGTCATGACCGGTTTTTGTGATCTAACCAATCTAGGTCTCCATTCAAAAGAAATGGTGTTCAGTCTGTTTGTGAACTCCATTTCCCCACAAACACAGGTAGCCTCACTTAATATGGCAACTGTTCCTAGAATTTTGCTGCAGCACAGTAATAATTAATTTAATCAATGCAATTGATTAATGCATTCTTTGCAAATTTAAAGGGTGAACTTCAAAAGTGCCCACTGTGAGAGTATGCACTATACTGATAGCCTTTTAAAAATAATAATAATAATAATATTCTCATACATCTCCTGATTGATTATATACTTTTAAAGATGACCTTCCAAAAATAAATGAGATGTCTGCTTCTTAGTCAACTGTTACCTTCATTAAGGAGCCACAAATGGCATCTATATATTATATTGCATGGTATTTATTCCAGGGTGGTGGTGGATTGATTAATTCCTCAGTTAAGAGTATAAGACCAAGTCATCTTTAACCATGTGGCAGCCCCACTCCAGTGCTTACACTGAAAGGAGCACTGTCATTGCCCCATCCCTGCAGCTGCAGCCCCGTGGATCAGTAGCATCAGAGTGTAACAGCACATGACACTCCCTTCTGTCCACCATCACTGGATTGGTGTTTCCAAGAAAGACAGGAAACTGCCTCATCCTGGGCCTGGGGGAGGGGTTAGGGCCAGACTGGCATCCCAGGAGTGCCACAGTTGATCTACAATCCTTGGTCTCCATGATGGTGAGGATGGGCTTACATCACTATTCAACATGTGGCACCTTGGCTCACGAACTTAATCTGTTCCACGACTCTGGTTGCGACCCAAATTGGTTTTGACCCAAGTCAAATTTCCCCATAAGGTTCAATGTAAAAAAGGTTAATCCATTCTGTAACCATTTTTTTAAATCACAAAAACAAAGTGACAAAAAACAACCAAGATCGTGGCCATCTCCCCCACCCCCCAGCACGACCGTGATCGCGCCATCCTCCCTGCATGAGCGCAGCTGTGATCGCAGCCATAGACAGGCACGATCGCAGTCGCACTCGGGCAGGGAGGATGGGCACGATCGTGGCCATCCCCCCCAGAGCACAGTCGCAGCTATCTCCCCCTCCCCATAGCACGACTGCGATCGCAGCCACAGACAGCATGAATGCAGTCGCCTGTGCAGGGAGGACGGGTGCAGTTGCGACCGTCACCCGATGCGGAGTTCACGACCTGACTCAAAATTTTTATGAAATTTCTGTTCGCGACCTGATTTGGTCATGAACTGAGGCATTCGTGAGCTGAGGTACCACTATACTATAGTATAATGGCAGAGACATCTATGAACTAGGAACTGCTGAGAGCCAGTGTGGTGTAGTGGTTAAGAGTGCAGGACTGAAACTCAGGTGATCTGGTTTCTAGCTCCCACTCAACCATGGAACCAACTGGGTGACTTTGGGCCACTCACAGACTCTCAGCCCAACCTACCCCACAGGGTTGTTGTTGTGGGCAGAACATTGAGAGCAGGATGAGGAGAGCTAAGCCATTTTGAGTTCTTTGTCAGAAAAAGGCAGGATATTAATCTGAAAAGTTAGTTAATTAGGGGGAAAGTGAAGAAATCTTCCCTGGCACATGCTTCATCTTGCCCTTTGATTAATAAGGAATGGGAACTGTCATTTACAGATTGCAGTGCCCCTCCATTAGTCGCAAGGGAGAAAACAGAATTTGGTTCCTCTGTTAATGTCAGCAGTGGGAGTTTAGGCTGTACCTGCTGGCTATAATCCAGACATATTTATTTCGTTTATATACTGCCCTGCCTCCAAAGAGTTCCTTTGATTTTACCTTCCAAATGGCTCTGTGAGATAGACTCTGCTGACAAAATAGTGGCTTGACCAAACTCACTCAGTGAGTTGTATTGCTCAGTGGGCAACTGAAATCAAGATATTCCTGGTCCTGCCCTCTATCCACTACTGCATGGTGGCTGTATATATAGAATGTACACAATAACAATGCCAACAAAATCACAACTTCCTGAGTTTATGTGCAGGTACCCCACCAAAAAACCTGTGCCATGATGGTTAGTTTTTAAATAGAGCCCCAATGCAGAATCTTATACATAGCGCTTTCCTTATGCTTCAACCTTTTTCTGCATAGCATTCTATGATATTTTCTATAGATTGTGCAATGGATCATTGTAAGTGCTAATTGGGGGAAAAATAGATTGTGTAAGCCATGCCAGGATTCATAAAATTTATAAGTTGATACAAAATACCAAGTGAGGTGATTAAAGTAAATTAAATACCTCAGCACCACAGTTTTTGTGTTGTTTACTGCAAAGATGACATATATTTAGGAGATAGGGCATTAAAGCCTTAAAATTGAATAAAATGTCTACAGGTCTTGTTGAAATTTTTTTTCGGGGGGGGGGGCTTCTTTGTAGGCATTATGAATCCCAGACATTAACTTTTAGGGGTACTTTGTACTGACAACAAGAAAGAAGTATGTTCCAAAACACCAATAGTTTCTCACCCAAATGAAATTTCCCCTGCCACCAACTTCTCATAGGCCTGGATCTAAAGGGCATTGCATCATCTTCCCTGGGTGGATATGTTTGTTTTCACACATAATATTTGCATGTTATTTTGTGTTTACCCACAACCTCTCACTTCCAACAGCAGCAGCATCTTCTGCTCCTCAGAAAGCCACCCTGAAGTCTGTGATATACTCTGGAATTGTATATCACGAGCTTTGAGTAACTGCCTTCACAAGGGAATATCAGCAAGCCTTCTATATTTATGTACCTTCCTCTCTGGATCCCCATCTAGCCCCAGCGTAGCACAAGACCAGTTGCCCAACTGTTCCAGTGACGGTTGCTGAACCAGAAAGGAGTGCTCCTCGTGGTCCTATGCTCTGGTTGGAGCCCACACCAAGTAAAGCCTCAGTATATTAGAGTCCCCTCTCTCTGGAACTCCCTGACTGTAAATGCCAGGCAGTCGCTGACCTTGTTTTACTTTCAGCTGTAAAATGAAGTCATTTTTGTTTAAACTAAACTTTCCTGACTGACCAGCCAGTTTTATTGACATAATTGGATTTTAAATATTTTAATTCTGCAGTTCAATTCTTGTTCATTGCTCGGGCATTTTGTTAGATGCAGAACAGTGTATAAATCCATTTTAATAACACTTAAAGAGAAAATGTTCCATAATTTCTGAGTGGGCAATAGATTAACCCAATGGATTAACCCAGCGGATTTCCTTATTCAGAGTTTATACTGTTCATGACAGCTTAGTTGGTTCTGGGATGATCAGCAGTTGCATAGGTTATTTCAGGAGTTTGAAAGGAAAGGTAACCATATTATCTGTTTATGATGGTTTCTTTGAATGCTAGTGATGGGACTTCAACAGTATCTGTTACTTTTCAATGTACCACTCAGACCTAGAACTGCATTTCATGGGGAAAATAAAGTGGGGGGGAGAACCTCTTAATGGCAAAAAGGTACCATTAAGTATATAACTGGAACATGTTCTGCTTTGCAGTATCCACCTTCTGTGAATTTTCCACACTTAGTTGAAATGGGTTTCATTGACATTGTTACCACTTGGTGTATACAAGATACTTTATACTGTATAAGATGCAAAATGTATTTTTATTGTGGCACAACAGTTAAGTAAACAGGCACAAACAGGCTTCGGCAAATGGGGCGGCATAGAAATTTCCTAAATAAATAAATAAATAAATAAATTGTTGGTAGCATAGCAAATACAGACATTTCTGCCCATACACAGTAGGATGTAAGGAAATGCAAGTTCCAGATTTTCTTCAGACATTTCCATGAAGTTATCTCTGCTATGGACATTTGGAGACGATCAGTCGAGTTTCTTGCAACCTGGAGAAGAATACGGTTGTTGTTCTGAAGCCTTTGTAGCTCATCCATGGTAGAGTTGTAGGAAAGCTAGTAGTCTCTGTGACAAGAGAGGTTCCCTCTTTCCCTAACCATTCCTGGCGAATACATAAACAAGCCTAGATGTTATGAATTATAAAACAGATTGCGGGGTGGGGCACTGTGGCGAATCAGTTACTAAGATTCTGAGGGACTTTCTGGCTACAAAAATGCTGTACTCCCCCCTTCCCCCCCCAAAAAAAGAATTGTGATACCTACTGCAATCATTCATTAAATGTTTTCAAGAACTAACATTATATATGTATGTATGGGCCCAGCTGATCTCATTTGCAGTTCACAACAGCATGCAAATGACTACATCCTAACCAAGGCATCACCTTCTTAGAATGCTAGATTTGAAATTTAGATCTGTTTCTTTGAAGTTAACTTTGGATATAGATGCTGCCATTACAGTTTTGCATTTTATACCTGCATCCCGTCTCCTCATCTCAGAATTTAGTTCTTCCCCTTTTCTATCTTGAAAATTTAAAGATCTTTTTATTTGAAAAGAAGGGGAAATAGCTAACTAAAAATTGCTTCTTTTCTAGCTTTTTGCCTGATTATATCAGTGGAGACTTTGACTCTATAATGCCTGAAGTAAAGAAGTATTATGCAGACAAAGTAAGTTTTTTAAAAGTCAAAAAACTATTTCCTGAAGAGCAAATTTAATGTTCGTTGTGTTGTTTTATAGGCCAGTGTTTTGAGATGATACGTATATCACCTCATAGCATTGATTTTCAAAATATGTTCTGAATGAGGAACTCTTGGTTCCTTTGAAACGTATACATCAGGAATAGGATTGGATGTATCAGTCTGTATTTTGTCCATATTACTTTCGGGTATGTTCCTCCATATGTCCATTCCTCTCATTTCCACATTAATCTTTTTGTTGTTTAATGTCTTGGTTGACACATACATGTGTATCACATGCATTCATGTCTGCTTGATGAACCCAAAACTGCCGCAGAGGCTTAGGACATAGTCTACCATAAATATTTACAGAATGGAAAATACAGAGTAGCACATCACTCCCAAACACTGGGTAGGCATCTTAACAACTGCAGGGATAAATCAGAAAAACCTGAGCTTATCAAAGTTCTCCTGATTCTATCCTGAAACTCATTCTGACTTGAGTCCATATCTGATTTCAAGCTTTGCGGAGCTTTTTGCATGTGCAAAATTGATGTGCATTTTATTTGTATTTTTCTAAATCTGTGCATCAACTGTGCACCTCTTTCAAATGTACACATTCTTGTCCCATTGATTGAAGTGTATTTGCATGCATTTTTAAAAATGGCACTTCGTGCACATTTTTCAAATGCTGTTCAATGCTCCCACCCCACCTCACCCCACTTTTTTGGTCTGCAAGTCACATTGCAAGTGTGCAAATGCATGAACTTCAACTACAGATTCTGTCTGAGTCCATGTTTGATCTGGAAGGTAAATCCTGATCTAAAACGAACTAAAACAAATTTCTCATGTATCCCAAAATAACAGCGCTAGAATAAGAATGGCAAGAGGTGGGGCATTTAGACTTGCCAAATAGAGACGCAAGAAGGGTTCTATGGAAAGGTTTTCAGCATTTTGAAAAGCTGAAGCTCAGCGGGGTTTCAGTGACATAGTGCTGGCCATGTGTGGGGTGGGCTGGGAGCTGTATTGAGAGAGAGTCTGGAATATTTACCTCTACCTAAGAGGAAGAATAGATAAAAGGAAGTGTTTCTTGACAAACACACACAAGCTTAGAATATGGAATTTGCTCCCAAAGCATTCCGTGATGGCCAGCAACTGGGATGGCGGTAAAAAGGGAGTTGACAAATTCATGGAAGATAAAGCTATCCATTGCTGCCTCCAGTATCAGAGGCAGCATATCAGTTGTAGGGCATACAAGCAGGAGGTCCTTCTGCATTTGTATCCTGTTTGGGTCTTCCCACAAGCAGTCAGTTGGCTACAGTGCAAAGAGAATGTTGGAATCAGTAGACCTCTGGAATGACCCAGTGCAGGTCTTTTAATGTTCTCACATACCTGGGTTACCTGTGTATAATCTTTGGGAATATATGTCAGGACCAGGGCCTGACTGGTCCCACAATTGTCTGCAGAGCCAGGCACTCCTCTGTGGGTGCTTGCAGGGAACAGCCAGAAGTAAACACATGCTGCAGCTTAAGATCCTGGGGAGTATCATATAAGATGCCTTCACATGACTGCTCCTTGCCACAGGACACAAGCCATCCCCATGACTCTCTGCCTTGCTCTGAGTAGACCCTGCCTTGCTCCAGCCTGTTCCAATTCTGCTCCTGCCATTTGCTCACTTGTCCCTGAGGCAACTACTCACCCAGTAAACGGACCTTAGTACTGTTCCTACCTTTTGCTCTCTCTGTGCTAAATCGGACTGCTCCCCTCCGTGCTTCCAGCCCTGGACTGCTGGCTCTGCTCCTAGTCTCTGGCCCCTTGGCAAAACTCTGGGCTCCTACTTGAGCCCATGTCCTGGAGCCGGCATTCTGCCCATCCCTGCCATGGCCCAGCCCTCACAGTATGACTTTTCAAGTACTCAACGCAGTCAAGAATGTTCTGAATATCTGTTTATTGTAATCCATTTCTGCCACTCCGCATTCATTTTAGGAACAGATAAAGTGAATATTAATTTGACTTTTTAAGCTTCACAGGTTTTTCATTTATACAAGTGGTCTTCAAAAAGTTTCCACACTTTTATAGTTTATATTTTATAAATATATTTAATATATTTTTTGCTGATGGCATTAAAAAGTTGGTACGATGCTGGGAAAAATGCATCGCAAAGGCAAGTGACTATGTAGAAAAGTGATGTAATTTGTTTTTGAAATTCTTAATAAATGCAGTTTTAAAAAGCATAGAAACTTTTTGACGAACCCTCGTACAAGGAGCTGGACCTGTTTTAAGTGGCATAGAGTGCAGACACTCCATTTCAATCAGAATATCATGTTGCAAACAGCTATGACTGGATTTGCAAATTGGCAGTTCACTAATGCCAGCTTTTGAAACAGAGTCAGAAATAACATTATCGAGTTGCAAGGCAGTGATTGTAAATACAGTGGGAATTGCTCAGCTTGATTTTCCATTGCTTGATGCTCTCACTTTCAAGGTGTGAGAAGTAATGAGTCCCCCCTCAGCCATGGAGCTCACTGGGTGACTTTGGGCCAGTCACAGACTCTTAGCCCAACCTACCTCACAGAGTTGTTGATGTAAGGATAAGATCAAGAGGACGAAGAGAATTATGTAAGCTACCTTAAGTTCCTTGGAAGAAAAAAAGGCAGGATATAAATATAATAACATAAATAAATAAATGGCCCTTACATTTCCTTGAACATTTATATTTTTGGGCACAGTTACTAAGTTCTCATAATAGCTTGGCTTCTTAGGCAGCACAAACATTACTTGTGTGACCTAGGGTCATTTTAAAGAGACTGAGCGATGCACCAACAATGCAAATCGAACTTCTGTGAACGAAGTGCTTGGCCCTTAATATGGCATCAAACAAACAAACAGCACTGACCTACCTTGCAGAATTGTTGTAAAAGATCCCAACAAAATACAGTGGTACCTCGACTCATGAACGCCTCAGTTCACAACCAAATTGGGTTGTGAACAGAAATTTCTGAAAAATTTTGACTCGGGTCACGAACTCCACATTGGGTGACGATCACGATTGTGCCCCTCTTCCCTGCACAAGCGCGAGCACGATTGCGCCTGTCTCCCTCCTGAGCACACCTGCGATCGCACCCATCTTCCCCGTGATTAAAAAAAATTACAGAACGGATTAACCTTATTTACACTGAACCTTATGGGGGAATTTGACTTGGCTTGTGACCAATCCGGGTAGCAACTAGAGTCATGGAACCGATTAAGTTCGTGAGCCAAAGTACCACTGTATTGTATCTAAAGTGCCCTGAACTCTTGAAAGTGCTATATGTTTATGCTGAGTGTTGTTATTTCCTTTTGGCACCAATTTGTTCTCTGTGTTATATACCAGCACCTGCAGGTTTGACTCAGAACAAAGCTTTCAAAAATATGTTGTTGAATCAATATCCCTAACCCTGCCCCTCCTGCCCAAGATCCTGTGTTATAGTTATAGAGGATATTGAGATACAACCCTCAGATACGGGCAGACTCCCTCTATCCACATTTTCATCTTGGTTCTTCTGTGATAGTCACATTGGAAGGCATCTCAGAACACACCCATCAAATTTCACTGATGTCCTATAACTAAAAGTTTCACAAGCAACCAGTTTGAATGCTTGTGCAATTAAGCCAGCCTTTCCAAACTTTCTCTCTCTATTAAAAATTATGTATTTCCCTTTGGAAAAGGTGGACACCTTCAGAGTGTTTTTCATGCTGATGCTGAGATATGGTTGTTTTGCATCTAGTGATTATGAATGCTGACTTTACTATTTGCAGAAATCTTTGAATTTGACTAATTTGGGGGAATTTGCATGTGCTAGCTTACATTTAAATATTTGCCAAACAAACAAACAAACCCACTAGATTTGTTTAGGAAATGGGGAAAAGCTTTTTCATTTCATTTCTGATTAAAGTCAAAAATTCTAATATAAGATGATTGAATTAGATTGGAAGCAGTAGAATTGGTTGCCAGTTATATATTAAGGTAGCTGTTGACCATTCTAGAAAAAGGGAAAATGTTAATGGAATTATTAAATATGATTGCTTAAAACTGTATTTACTTGAACCTGGAAGTAAGTTTTTAAAAGTTTTTCTTGTCTATGAAACTTGGAAAAAAGGCTTCTGAGTTCATTTCATGTTGAGTTCATTTTATATATACTCAGTAAAAGCATGAAATGCCCCATGTACAGGCTGATAAAAGCAGATTTTCCAGAATGTTTAAATGCAGGAACCTGCTGTTAAACTGATTTAAGGTTCTTTTCTGTCTATATTAGACAGAAAAAACTCCCACAACTTCCAGCATTCCCCAGTGAATGTGATTGGCTGAGGAATGCTGGAAGCTTTAGGGACTTTTTTAATAGAAACATGTGCAGGACTGCAACCCTGGCTGAGTAATTGTGATGGACCAGTGGATGAACAAGCAGTTAATTGCTATCAGTTGGCAAATCAGTGCCTTAAAATGAGGACAGTATTCCACTGGTTAAGAGGAAAGAATTTTAAAGGCTGCACTCTGCAAACATTGAATCAAGAATTAAACATAGTTAAAGCTTTCATACTTAACTAGGACAGAGAAGCACTTTTTAAAGACTCTCACACAGGTCACAAAGTGATAGAAAAAATGTAAAATCTTGTATACTGCATGGACAAGACTACCCTCAAATTCTGCCCCAGCATTGAGAATATGGTGTTACTGCCCATGAAGTCCTCAGAGACTGAAGCCTGCAGTGGAACCACTGAAACAAGTCCCTTGTTCTACTGAACTGGGGTCCATTGCTTTGAATCGCATATCCTATATGTGAAACCCGTAGGAGAGACCACTGTCCTCTGACTGCAAGGAGAGGACCTTAGACTCCTTTAGTTGTAAATCCCACTTGTGATGATAACATTGATCTGCCTTGAGTTACTAAGTTGGTGCATGAAGTGCTTCAAGCAATCCAAACTCACCAGATAAATTCTAAGTGTTATCACTA